CAACCCTAGGCGGAGAGGGATATAACGGGAAACTATCAGATCCATGCACTTTCGAGAAAAAACTATCAGATCCGCGCAATTTCAAGAAAAAACTATCAGATTCGCGCACTTTCAAGAAAAAACTATCAGATCCGCGCTCTTTCGAGAAAAAACTATCAAATCCGCGCACTTTCAAGAAAAAACTATCATCTTGACATAAACCACAAGTGAATGATCGTCAATGAGGTTATATATGTAAGGTTGTAAGGTCCTTGATGATCATGCATACATTGTCGCACGCTGTTCAGATGAACGATAACACGCAAGCAGACGTAATCTATTATATTTGGCAACTTGGAAACACATGTCACTTTTCCCGTAAAACTAAGACAGCTATAGAGTTGAAAGTTGGCAGGTACCTGCAAAAAGATAGATAGGTCCCCATGACGGAGCCTGATTTTTGATTTATTCATTTCCTGAATTTAGAAGAATATATTTGACAAAAAGTTCCCGTCTTTCTTTATCATTCGTGATTATTCCACTGAGAAACGAAACAAATCTGCGTAGCTGTCCTCCACAGCGGAAGAGACGGAAGTGATATTTCGCGAGGCGTATTTTGTTTTGAGAGTATAGATCTAGAGTCTAGACCTTCTAATTTTTTGCATCTCTCAATATTTATTGCTCCATTCCTGTCGAGTGTAAATAAAGTAGGCCAATGAGGTTCAGTTGATGTTAATGCACCGATCATTCCTTTCACCGAAAGGGGGCCCTGCTAGTCTTGACATAAACCACAAGTGAATGATCATCAAGGAGGTTAAAATACAGTAAGGTTGTAAGGTCCTTGACGATCATGCATACATTGTCACATAAGCTATTCAGATGAACGATAACACGCAAGCAGACGTACCGGGTAATTTATACTATCACAATCTATCGTCCGTATCTCTCCTCCTTCTATTTTGTGTTTGCTACTCTCTTGAAACATCTCTAATCTTCGGCACTTATATGTGTTGCAAGTGCCGTAAAACTCTTACTAAAACTATCCTATCACAGCACAGTGGGTGCCGACATTCATGTTATATCGCTCTATGCACACATTATGCAGGTGTGCATGGATTTGTTCAAATCGATTTTCCCTTCGATTGACGAGTATTGGTGGAGCGGGAGAAAGTCAGATGTGTGGCACTCACACGAATAGATCTCAACCTGGAACGGTTACCGTACATTTATACAC